GCATGTGGTGCTGGGGGATTGAACCGCGGTCCCTCTGCTTTGCTAAGCTTGTTCTAAGTAGGTGCTTTAGACCACTGAGCCATCTCACCAGCCCCCCCGGGCCACTATTAATCTTTTCTGTTTCTAAAACTTTGCCATTTCAGGAGTATTATGTAGATTGAACCGTAGTGTATATAATTTTGGGGACTTCCTCTTGTTTTTTTTAAACACACGTGTGCAAAGTTATATTTAAATTTATATTAAACAATATTTACGTTTTTAAGTTATACTCTTGAAGTTAGAAAGCGAAGTACAGTTCCAGTTTTACAATGAAGAAAATATAGAACACAAAAATAGAAACATTAAAAATGCAGTTATTTGGCCCGGGGAGATGGCTCAGTGGAATAAGTGCTTCCCTAGCAAGCCCAAGGGCCTGAGTTCAATCCCTGATTCTGCAAAAAAAACCAAACAAAAATGCAGTTATTGGGGCTGGTGAGATGGCTCAGTGGTCTAAAGTACCTACTTAGGGACTGGTGAGATGGCTCAGTGGTCTAAAGCATCTACTTAGAACAAGCTAAGCTAAGCAAAGCACAGGGACCACGGTTCAATCCCCCAGCACCACATGCCAGCCCGCCCCGCCCCCTGGTGGGCTAAGCTGGCCACACACACACACACACACACATAAATTAAAAAAAAAAAATGCAGTTATTGGGCCAGGTAGATAGCTCAGGCACATAAGTGCCTGCCTGGCAAGCACAAGGTCCTGAGTTTGATCCCCAGTACCAAAAAACGCCCCCCAAAAAACAAAAAAAGTATTTATCCTGGATTATAATATGTGGAAATTTTTTGTCAGAAAGCTACATCTTCTTAATCTGGTTGACCAAATCATCAAAATAGGGATGATTTAGTGCCATTTTGGCAGAAGTTTATTTAGCAGGAGCATAGAGTAACTTTTTTTTTTTTTTTTTTTTGCACAACCAGGGATTGAACTCAGACCCTTGCACTTGCCAAGGAAGCGCTTATTCCACTGAGCCAGCTCCCTGGCCCCTAGAGTAACATTTTTGAGAACGAACCCAAGCCATTTTTATCCAAGATTTTGACATGAGGTACTAGGCTTCCTGGTTTCTATTTAGGAAATGTGTTCTTCCATTCCTATAAAGATTTGACTTCTGTCCATAATTTTTTAAAATTTAATTTTATTGAGAAAGAAATAGCAATGAGACAGTTTCAAAACAGGTTAGTAGGACAGTTACAGTAATTAGTACATACTTCATGGTTGGGAACACCTAAAGCTCTGAAAATCCTGAAGAGTTGATCCAGTTTCTGAATCCCCCTGGAAAAGTGGCTGCTTAGTTACCAGTTCTGCAAAAATGGTCCCGATCCTCCAAATGTTAAGTGTAGCAGAGTAATGAATTGATCCCAACAATAGCCCTGGAGAGCTATATCAGAGTGTAGCTACCTCAGGTATATACTCCAATAGATATCCCAAACTGTGGGGCCTTGTTGGTGTCTCCGGTACCCCAGGGAGAAACAGCAGCAGGAATGAGGAAAAAATAGACAAAAAGACAAGAGTTGGGTCAGGCCGTGGCCTCTGCCTGACTGACCGAGAACAATAGTAGGGGCGTTTGTTTATACGTATGTAAAGTTAGTATCAGGAGACACAAGGTTGCTGTCTTAGTTACTTTTCTCTTATTGCTGGGACAAAATAAGTGACACCCAAAATTAAGGAAGTAAAGGTTTATTTACCTCAGAGTTTGTGGAGGTTTCAGTCTGTACTTGGCTGGCTTCAAGGCAGAGTGCCACATGGCAGAGGGCAGCAGTTCATGGTGGTGGAAAAAAGCAAAGAACAAAGGCTGAAGGCAGGAGCGGCAGCAGCGGTGGCCCAGGCAAACCTCTCCCCTCTCGTTATATTACCTTCAGGCTCTCTGCCCCAGGGTGGTGTACGCTCACTCCCATCATCCCAGCAGCACTCAGACCCATAATCCTAGCCTTGAATCACTGAATTAATCACAAACTGTAGAACTGCACTCCAATGACTGCGTGAGGCTTTGTGAGGAAAACTATACACAAACCATAACAGTTGCCTAGCAGCTAATAACCGAAATTGACAAGACAAGTAGATTGACTACTTGAGGCACCCTGGCCTTGTCCTGCTTGCCCTCATAGGATCAATTTCGAGCTCCAGGCTCCCAGCATCTCTCCCTTTACTGCTTTTCTGTGTGA